TCTGTGCGCACGCCCGGGCGCACACCCAGCAGCCCCCACGGACACAGCAACCCCCAGGGCGCAGAGCCGCAGCCGCCTCCGCAGGGCCCACGAGGTGAGACGCAGCCGGCCAGCGGGACGCTCCGCGGAGCCGCCTCAGGCCCAGCCGCGGCGGGCGGGACGCACGGGCCTCAACCGCATTGTTTCCTTCTCAAAGGAAGGACACCGTTCCGGCCTGGGGAGCGGGCCTCCTCCCGCGCAGGGTCGGCAGGCGTGGGCAGGGGTGGTCGCCCCTAGCAGCAGCTCCCCGCCCCGCGCCGACCGACGACGCCCCCTCTGCGGCTGCAGGACTACCGGGTGAACATCTTCCTGCGGCAGCAGTGGAACGACCCCCGGCTGGCCTACAACGAGTACCCCGACGACTCCCTGGACCTGGACCCTTCCATGCTGGACTCCATCTGGAAGCCCGACCTGTTCTTCGCCAATGAGAAGGGGGCCCACTTCCACGAGATCACCACCGACAACAAGCTGCTGCGCATCTCGCGCAATGGCAACGTCCTCTACAACGCCCGTCCCCACTCACTCGCCGCGGACGTGACCGCTCCGCACGGCGGCCTCTGTGCCCGACTCGGGGCCCCAGAGGGCTGCTGCAAGGCCGCCCGCCCGCCCAAGGCTCCCCAGACCCACACGCCCCCAGGGGCTGCGGGGCTCTAGGGAGCGAGGGGCCAGAGGTCCCCCGCCTGCAGGTGACTGGTGCCCCAGCAGGAGCAGCTGGTGGCCCCAGAGCCTGCTGTGGCCGCCTGGCCAGCCCCCAGGGGCTGTGGCGACACCGTGGGCACGTACCCAGCCAGCGCCCCTGCTCGGAACCCCCTCAGCTCCCGCTGAGCGGCAGCAGTCAGCTGGGAAGGCGAGTCCCGAGGAGAGTGGGCGTGGGCCAGGCGGGCAGCGCCGGACGCGCCTGAGAGGGAGTGACCACCGGCTGGCCCCCTAGGCAGGCCGCGGCCCGCGTTGTCGAGGCCGGTGGGGAGCTCGCCAGCACCGGGGCACAGCTCGGGAGCCCCCGCGGCCCGCTGGGCAGAGGCTGCGTCTGAGCCGCGCTGGAGTCCGGCCGAATGGGCGCCCTCAGGTCGCACTCGAGGCCGCGCCTGGCTTCCAGCTGGCCCCGGACCCCCCAGGCCGCACCCCCCTGCGCTCCAGGCCAGGAGGCTCCCCCAGCCTCGGTCCCCTCTCCACCAGTCATCTCATAGGACCCTGTGGTTCCCGCCTCGCTTTCTCCTTTTAGATGAGACACATTTACATTTTTTAATTCATTTACTTTCATAAGAAGAGAAAATAAAATATTTTGAGCTAT